AATTGGTTGTGAATATTGTAAGTCAGTAGGTACATTAAAAACATTTCAAAGCAAAGGTGTTGAAATATCAAAAGAATGGTGCTTAACAATGATTGATGGTGGTTCCAATACAGTTAAAGCTGCCAGATTGACTAATTTACGGCACAAAATTTTGAAACATAAGACCTCCAAAGCCCATACGGAAACTGAAAAAATTTCGCAACAAAAATGTTCTAACTTGTTAAGCAAAGCTTTTCAAACTGGTAAATCTAATTTCTACGATACAACGCAAAAAGTTTTTCGATCAGCTTACTATATTTCTAAATATAATAGACCTTATGATGACCACTCAAAATTAATTGAATTACAGCAGCTCAATGGACTTGACATGGGTACTACATTGCATTCAAGGTACTCTAGTACAAATATTATTTCCCATATTGCAGACAAAATGAAAACTAAAATAGTCCAAAATATAATAGCAACATCATCTAAGATTTCTATTCTTATAGATGAATCCACTACTGTTAGTTCTTTATCAGGTATGGTGGTTTATGTTAAAGCATCAATATTAAATTCAGAACCTGTTTTTTTATTTTTGGATTTGGTAGAATTAAAAAGTCAAACAGCTTCTAACATAGTCAACCAATTAATAGAATGTCTTCATACTTCTGGATTCACAGAGAATTTTTTGGTAGAACATTGGGTATCATTTGTAACGGATGGAGCTAGTGTACTTCTTGGTAAAAAAAATGGAGTGGCTGTACGTTTGAAAGAGAAGTATCCTTTAATTTTTAGCTGGCATTGTCTTAATCATCGGTTAGAGCTAGCAGTCGGTGATACTTTAAAGGAAATAACTGCTACCAACCATTTTAAGTATTTTTTAGATTCTTTATATTCTTTATACAGTAGATCTCCAAAAAATCAAATTGAGTTAAGAGAACACTGCACAAGTCTAAATGAAATTTTTTTAAAAATTGGAAAAGTTCTTGATGTTCGCTGGGTAGCAAGTAGTTTTAGAACAATTAGTGTAATTTGGAAAATATATCCAGCATTGTATAATCATCTTGTTCAAGCCTCTAAAGATACACTTCGTGATAATAAAACGAAATCTAAGTACAGTGGGCTAAGTAAGCGTTTGGGATGTATACAATTCTTGTTAGACTTAGCCTTAATGTGTGATATTTTATTTGAAATATCACAATTATCTCTTGACTTACAAAAACAAGACATGTCACTATTACAAGCTGATGTACTAATTAGAAGAACAATTAGAGTTATTGAGTCATTGAAAACCATGGATGGTAAATATTATTCAGAAGCTGTTAAAGCAAAAGAAAAAATGATGTTTAAAACTGTTGTTTTATCTAGTAATGAAAAGATAAATTGTATAAATAAGAACCAATTTATAACAAGTGTTGTAAATAATTTAAATATGAGACTTATACCAAATGAAGGTGAAGAAAAAATAATACTTGAAGACTTTCAAATATTTGATAAAAAATTATGGCCTTCAGAAGTTGATATACGCTTTGGGGAAAAAGAAATACAACGTATATGTAACAGATTTTGTATTAATGAAGTAAAGTCGTTAAAAGGAATGCGAATCTATGTTGATGAAAATGATAAAGTAGATGATATAAACTTAATAGAAGAACTTAAGGACATAAATATTTTAATTAAGACATTCCCATGCTCAACAGCAGAGTGCGAACGTGGGTTTAGTCTTATGAACAATATATGTACAGATCTACGTTCAAGACTGCTAATAAAAAATATTTCAAATTCAATGTTCATAAATATTAATGGTCCACCTTTAAACAAATGGAATCCTAAAGACTATGTTGAAAGTTGGTTAACCTCGCATAGAGATGCTGATGACAATAGGTCAAGAAAAGTTGCCACTACAGTCCCAAACAAAGACCTAAAATCCAAATTATGGGAATTACTTTAATATTATAAATTATAATTAAATGTTTAAAAATGTCTTATAATAAATAAACAAAAATAATAATATGTTTCATTGATTTGTTAATTGGTTATAGTTTTGAATTTTTTTAATGGATTATGAGTTTAAAATATACCAATCATAGTTTATGAGGTTCTATTGTATATTATATAGACAAATAGATGAAGTATTGTATGAGTATCGAATAATGGTGAGGCGATTGGGGGGTTTGGGGGGCATAGCCCCCCAAGTTATTTTTTACAATGATTAAGGCGTGTACCCATGATTTTTTTTAGGACTACATCACTGATACCTAT